CCTTCTCCTGGTCTTCATTGACGTTTATATTTACACCGATTCTCAAATAGACCACCAAACAAGCATTCAACAATAAGTGCTCCGCTATTTTTTCCTCCCAGTCTTGCACTACCATATTGGTCTCTCGCTGGCTTTCGTCCTCTCCTTTCTCAGGTATCTTTCTCAATTTGGGTGCATTATCTTTCCGGGTCCAAATCCATGGTATTGGCCGTGCATCACGAGATACCCAGAGCAAACCAGACCTGGTTGAATTTGCTATCAGAGTCGCATTCTGTGAGCCCAATCACATATTCTGCTAGACAAGACGATGAAAATGAAACCACCTTGGCACTTTGGTTCGGGTTTCCGATTGGCTAAGGATGAACTTTCTAACGAGTCCATTGATGTACTTCGATTTACTCGTGACTTGCCTCAAGAGTCTTGCTCCTCGCCCTAGTGCAAGATACTGGGGGTTACTTCTGTGTTGTTATGGTTTCTTTCTCAGACACGTGCATTGTCCAAAGCATCCACTTTTACATGCTGAGAGGTGCTAGTTCTTGTGCAACACAGCATAAATTATGGCAAGACATAGGAACCAATGTGGTGGATCTTGCTTGGGTTCTGGGGTATGGTTCTGGGGTCCGAAGCACAAAATTGCCTAGATGTGCCTTCGATATCGCCCTGCAAGTCTTCACCCAAAATCAAAGGCACAGTTTGCAGATGGTGTCCCTGGTGTCCCTATTTTGGTTCTATCATGATATGTTATGATATGGACGTCACTCTGTTTGGAAGAAACTCGAGTTTTGTGAAAGCATTTGAGTAGGACCTGGTAGGACCATCCCTAGGCGATGGCCCCGACCCTCACAGAGCTCATTCTGCAGGAGAGGGTGGATCATACAGTCGACATGCAGAACACGAGTTGGATGCTGGATTTGCTAACTGACAGCTTTGTATTCTTGAGTTTCTTTCCAGCGACCCTGTTCAGCTCTACTCTGCATAACCTTCTTGGAGCCCTTGATGAGAACGTAACTTGGAATTGCTTTCCACACCCATTGCAAGGAGTCAGGCATTTTCCCAAACCTTGTGTGGCTGCGCTTCCCACGCTTGCTGGATACGGCCTTGAAGGACGGTTCTGGCGGAGAAGGCCAAATGAACCTGGGACAGAGCTGTGACTACTTTTGGCCAACTAGTGTACTCCATTTGCTGCTACGTGAAACCAAACAGGTGCTTTAGATCTGTACATGTACCATCGGCTTGTGACTTGTGACAGATATGATTTGTGAAAACTATCGCATTTGGTGGACAAGTCCGACCTTCTGAGAGATGTACAGGCAGTAGGTGTTGCAGAAGCAATGACGTACTTATATTAAAAGAGTAAGTCAAGCCCGACGACTACTTGTACTTTGTGGATCTTTGTCTCAACTTTTCTGAGTCAAAGGCTCTTAGACGGAAGATGGGTTGTGCGACCTATCACCAACCCCCCAAGCCAATACTGGAAACTATCATCATTGGTTTGGCGTTGTTGATGCAAACACGGCATGCGCCAGGTATAGGCGTGATCGCCAAGCTGGTCTCTGCAAATTGGAGCAACTTGGAAGGGTTGCTACTCATAGCGAGGACTTCGAGTCTTGCGAAGATGTCGAAAGCTGAAAGCAATGACTTGAAAGGAAGAATCACTGGGCAAACTTCATGCAGAATTCTTGGCATGTGAACCAGGTATCTTGAAGATTCCAGTGGCCTGGCTGGATGGTGAAACCAGACTGGGAGGTTTGGAGTGACAAGGTTTCGGAGAGGATCTTGGTTGATTGATGGATGACGCATGATTGTCATAATATGAAATTGAATAGACGTTTTGATAGAATGACTCACTGCAGCACCTTCTTTCGGCCATTTGTTGCAAAAGCTTCCTTCTCACACAAATGGTGGCCTCCAACGGTCAGTTTTCCTCTAGCCTAGGGCCTAGGGGTCTTGGGTGCCTGATGGCCATAGATCTGTGGATGGTGAATGGAAAGACCATGTCATTTGCACATAGGACCCTACTGTATATCCTCAGATCGAGTCTGACATGCATGGACTGAGCCTTATATAGATAAATTCCAGGACCCTTAATTGAAGTCATCATGTTGGTCCTCATGGCTTGCCCGTGAGGCTCATTTATTGTGCGCTGTATGGTTTGCTTGCAGCTCTATCCACTACTTGAAGCTCGGCTGAGCATTGATTCTTTCAATTCCCAGGCTCACCGAGGTCATCCCTCCTGCAAGTAATCAGGGCAAAGACAGTGTTATGGTAGAGTTCCCGGAGAACTAGCATGCCCCACCTAAAAAAGAGCATCCACCACTACCGGTCATTTCCTGTCCAAGGACCGAATGTGAGAATGAGGAGTTCGTGTGGGGAGTAGAGCCAGGTGACGCGTAAGTGGATGAGATGAGACCTGCGGCGAATTGACGGAGCAAGGTTTGTCTTCGACATCCTTATAAATATATACGTGAAGGATACAATGCATTGCTTTCATTTCTTGCTGAATGGGGGCACTTAGTGACATAGTGTTGGATTGTTCTTTGCCAGGGATTCTGGCCAGTGCCCAGTCCCTCTAGAACTGGAACCATGGAAGAACACCCTGGCAGAACATGTAAGAAAAATGATCCAATTGTCAATTGTCCTTAAGGCTTGATGGAAGTGGAGTCACTTGGCCAGTGCCTGCCAAAGGTGTTGTCCGTGGCAGGCTATCACAGATACATTTCCATTCCTTCGGCCATGTATTATGCTGCTGACTCAGCTGTGATGCAAATGGCGTGTCGTTCTGTAGATTTTGTCGAATCCTACTGGATTGAACTATCAGAAACCATCACACTGGCCGACAATGTTAGCGATGCAAAAGTCTGCAAACACATGCCTTTGTTGTGACCATCTTCAGTGATTCAGATTTGCAAGGAAGCTGTGGAGCTAGTAGTAGTGCAGAATCCTGTTGAATGCATTCAGACACAGGACTGCTTTCCTGAAAAGTGAAAGTTTGTTCCCTATTACTTTGTCTCCCACGTTTTTCCAATGAATGTCAAAGCTCTAGAGGGTTTGCAACTTCTACAGTTCTGCAGGGTTTGCTTTGCAATCGGTCTCAAACAATGCAACATTCTGACTGTGAAGCTTTGAAGCCCCTTCATACCCTTATCTGAATGTATACCGAGGCCTTGATTGACTTCAACGGTGTCTTGGCACATCGCTTGGTAGCTTATTTGAGAGGCCCCAGGTGACAGAACCTCGCAACCCGGATCAGCCAGAGGCTACATAATGTAATGTGCGTTGCCAAGTTTCCTCTTGCATAAGCACGCGACGTGGAACAGAAACCGACAGAAACCTGTTTTTGCCAGCCCATTTGTGGACCGGTGGAGGAACCTCTTGTCTTTGCCCCAGGCGAATTTCCCAATGCAGATGAGTTCTCAGCACCGTTCGGGAGAATGAACTCTATGGTGCCTCGTTTGCACATGTTGGCGCCTTTTATGTCTCTAACTCTAACTGTTTTGGTGATTATGCCCAGGCAGCAGGAACAGATGAGCATTGCCAAGTTGCAGTATTCCAAACAATTTGTTTCAGTTTTTGCTCAGACATGCTCCGACCATGCGTCAACCAAAGCGACGCACAGACCCTGCGCCCCAGGCCACAGAGCCTGAACTATGTTATATAGTATACTTACACTTCAAAGTTCATGTGTAGTGTATGGTTTAATGTTTAAAAGAAAAGCCGTGTATTTTTGAACGGAGCCTTTGCATGTGATGCTGTTTTGAGTATTCTTCTCAGTTTCTCAGCAGCCTTGCAATATTTTGTGTTGAGGTGATTTGCCTCCTGGGCACATACCTTCTGAGCATTCCTGCTGGCGTGCTGGGTGCGGCTTTTCATGTACCTCAGACAATCCACCAAGTTGTTCTCACGTTCCTCATATCTTAGCGACAGCTCAAGATCTGAAAGGAGTTGAAGACTGGAATTTCATGCACGTCTTGAGAATCTCCACCTCCAAAGACACACTCTGGAAATTGTTTAAGGACCATGTCACGAGGAACCACGGGCGTTTGGATGCTGTGGGGCGCATGCAGGCCCTATTTGCACTCGTTGACACAGTTGCAGACATTTGAACATGTATTCCTTTGTTCGTTCCAGTCCGTCCTAGCGACTCTGTTTGCATTGTGTTGTTGACGCTGACAGAGTCTTCACTGAAAGTGTGAATAGAGGCACCGTCGCCAGCTTCCCTTTCCCAGGCAACTGCCATTGCTAGTTGTGAGTTCAACTCATGGAAGTCTTGTTGTGCTTTGCATGTTTCTTAATCAGCTCGATCAATATCTTGTGGTGAGTTTGAATGAAGCCTGCGCCGTGGGTCAAGCAGGCTTCAGATATTTGAGCTCGGTCAACATGAAGAATTCAGCAACTCTCAGTGAGGCCTTGGAAGCGAGACCTCCACCTTCCAAATCTTTTTCCGTCATGTTGATCGGCTTCGTCGTCGGGATGCCTAGCTCGATTTCCAGTTCAATGTTGAGCTTAAATGTGCACAGACCTTTCTTCCTTTTCTTTTTGCTTTGTTTCTATTAGCGATAGCCTCCACCCTAATAGCGACTAGCTGGGATGCGCGGCTTGGCCTGAGAAACAATTGGTGCGTGGCTGTGGAGGATGCTCAGGGCCTTTTCGACCTTAGAGCTCAGCACTCAGGTTTTGTCAACTGGGAACTTTATCTTGCTGACAGTGGTCTATCAACGTCCCGTTTGCGAGAATGATGTGGAAGGACAAAAGACCTGAGGAAGAGGATCTTTTTGCATTGTGATTTTCATGTGTCAAAGACAATGTCAGCCACATTCTCAAGTGAAACTTGGCCTTCGATGTCAGTTGTCTAGCCATGTCGGGCTCTAATACAAAACATTCAGGAACACACAATCCCAGACTATCCCATTCAAGGATATTCAAGGTGCTAGGTACCCCTTTGAGATGTGGAGAATCAACAAGTAACAAGTATCACTTTGACAGATAGCACAGCATAGCGTGGAAACTGCTCTGTGAACGCTCTTTCCTTCGTGTCACCCATGGTCTTAGAAGAACTGCAGAAGGTTGCTCCGAACCAAACCATGGAGAATCAAGAAGAAGCGCATAAGGAGTTGGCACGAAGACGTGCAGAAGTCCTTTCAAGCTTGGAGAATTGGTGCCGGGCATTGAAAAATATAGTGGAGGCTCCAATGGGGGCTCCAATCGACGCAACTCCAACTGAGAAGGAAGGGGGACTTCAGTCTCGCTTGAGAGATGCCCTCTTCACTGATATTTGCAATGCCTTGGCGTTTTCTGGAGCCGCTGGTTTGAACAAAGAGGCATCGACACCTGTCAGGATTACAAGTCAGAGACAAGTTTCCAAGAGCACTGGTCTCATGACGCCTCGGACTTCCATCACCCTCACTCCCCGCACCCCAAAGACTTCGGCTCTTCGTGAAAATCTCCGTGACGGCCGAGCTCTCGTGACCGTCACCCGGAGCAAAGTGGAGAAGCTCTCGACCCCTCGCGACCGTGGGACGCCTGGGCGCCACACTGGGCGCCCAGTCGACCACACGACACCAGGCCACACTGGGGCCAGGCCACAGAGCGCTAAACTCGAGCGCGAGAACACTCAGAGCACGCGGGGCTTTCAGATGCCAGCCTTTGCTGGCGTGCGGCGGGCATCATCCCCCAATGGAACATGTGGAACCACATCAACATCATCCAAAGAGAGGCCTGTTGGATTGGGCTCACGGAGCAGCTCGTTGAAAATACGACCAATCCTGTGAAGCTCAGGTCCGGCTGAAGCACCCAAAGCAAGTCCAGCATCATACAGATACTGTACAGTACGCACCAAAGTATTTTGTGTCTAAAAATATGTCCAAAGTCTAGTCGTAGACTTCGAGGTTGAATGTTATTGGCACAGAAGATGCACCTCGAGGTTGCCGGCAATTGCTGAGTGCCAAAAAATGCAGCCAGGCTGGTTAATAGTGTACCACCTTTCTCGTTCTGCAGAGCTATGCATGACTCTCGCCAGGACACCTTTTTGAGGAGGGCTCTTGGCAACGGGCCACGCAACTTGAAGGCAATGTATAGGAGTGCAAGTGACACGTTCTTGAGAGTGATGCTGCATTAGGGATGCGGTCTGGGCAATCACAAGCCACATAAGCGAATACATCAACACCTCAACACTTAGCTCTGAGGTCCTGTTCACTCTGCTTGAGGCAGAAGCATGGGGAACGGGCAATCCCAATAGTGGCCAGTAGTGAGGCCAAGAGCATCTACCTGCATGTAATTTGTCACTCCGTCTGACTCCGTCTCCAGCCTGAGTTCGATGTTTAGATTCAGATGAGGTGCATCCAGGCCCTAGGTAATTAAGGTGGTTCTACGCCTTCAGTCAGCAAGGAACATACCCAACATGGCTGGCCGTGGTGCAGCCATGGCCATTGATCTCATGGTCCAAGGATTGCTCCATGCCGGTACCTCGACTGCTTGCTTGCGATCCCTTTCTTCACAATCTGGGCCGCCAAGCTTGTTACGATAGAGTTGCTCGGCTTGCCTCGTGCACATCAATCTGAGGCACAGGCGTTATGAACCCACTGACACCTGTATGCTGAAAACGTTTGAACACTATGGTGGCTATACATATATATATATATATGTGTTGGCAGCCCATGCCCGACGTCCCACGTCGGCCTTTTCACCTGGTGGGCTTGAGAGTCCCTGCGCGGTCGAGAAACAACACTCCTTAAGAATTCTTTGTAAATGTTCTTGGCAATTGTGTGCCGGGAATGCATGGCTTGTCAGAAGGGTTCAAGCCACGTGCCTTGAAAAATTCAACGAGGTCACGCAGCGGGCCGGACCCTGATTTAAAGTGGGAAAAACAAAAGGCTCTATAGCCTTCCAAGCCTTCGTCTGTCCCGGTGGCGAGCTCCTCATATGTTTTCTGTCCTTTGAATTTTCCGAAGCTCACGACTGATCGGCCCCAGTGATCCACACTGTGAATGCCTGGAGGCAAGTGCACTTCCAAGCACGGCGTCTCAAACGTCGTTGATCCTGAAGGCATCGGTGTCGGGGTTGCCGGAGAGACGGTGTAACCAAACATCTCTTTGGGACTGGCTTCAACGCTCTCGCGGAGGCGTTTGCTTCCATCCGTCATGGCTCCAGTCTGGGTGCTGATGGATGTTTCTTCGGCCTTCTGGTTCTCGATGCTCAACACGCGCTGCATGACTGAGTCCCATACCCCGTGTTCACGGGCTTTGGTAGTCAGACGCACAACCTCATCGAACTCGGCACTGGTGAATGCCGCTCCCTTACGGTTGGCAAGGACCATGGTGTCACTTGTGAGTATCAAATCACACTTCGATCGTTGATTTCCTCAAACTTCCCTGGCTTGAGACGATCAGCGACGCAAAATCGCTTGCTTGAAAGAAGGCATTACCAAACAAACAAACAAAAAATTACATACAGTGAAACAACTATGGTAAAGGAGTGATATATCCACATTCTCAGCTAAGGCAGGGATCGACATGGCATGTTCAAATCACAACACAAAGTTCAGGATTTCCCCGGTCACTTCACTCACACGAATGCTGCAGCACTCTCCCACTTGAGACTAAGAAGTGTTAACACTTCAATCCAAACACGTGCTAGTGAAAACATGCTTAGCAAAAACAAAATCACACACTCTCGGTGGTGTGTGGCTCTGTGTTTCCGTGAGTCGAGGGCTTTTTGGCAAATTGCTGTCTTCTCTCTCTCTCTCGGCGGCTCGGCGTCTAAGGACCAGGTCTTCTGGACTGATCTGGTAGGATGCTGTCCTTAAACAAGAACGAAGGAGGTCGAAAGCTTCGGGGCTTTCCTTGGTCAGGCCATCGGCCAGCATACGATTGGTGGGAATCCAACGCAAAACAGCTTTGAGTCTCTCAATACTATCCCTTAGAATAACAATATCTATGGCTGTCCTTCGGTCGTCTAATGTAGGGGATGACTGGGAAACCAAATGATCGTACAAGGATTTACAGTCCGTGATCAACATGACTACCCTGTTCCCCATCCCTGACCAAAGGCTCCGAGCAAAACGAGGACCGTCGAGCGCTTCCGACAAAAGCAGCGACGTCCACTCTAACATGCTGGAAGCCACAGACATGCTCTGTGCTTCTGCGCTGAGGGTTGAACTAACAACTCTGGGAAGTCGAAAACTCTTCCAATAGCCTGGTGTCCATGAACTGTCTAAGCCTTGGTTTACTCCCTGGTGTGTGTAGCTAACAATGAACCCTCCTTGGGTGGCTCCCGCACGAGCGTTTCCAAAAGCTGCATCGGAATGGCACATGAGACCTAAGTCATCAGGAGAAATAGAACAAAACTTCAGCCCTTGGTCGGCATGTTGTTTTGCTCGACGCACGGCGTGGTTCGCCGAGATGGCGTCTCCGACGGTTGGCTGTGGAAAGGCCTGCTGTGAAAATGACACTTGAGTCGCCAAGTCCGGCCTGGACTGGTTTGCCAACCAGTTGAGGCTTCCATTGATGGCTCTCAGACAACTGATTTCTTTTTCGGTCAAAACGGCATCACGGTTTCTAGCCCTATCTCTACTAAGATGCAAAGGACGTATCTTCTGCGCAAACTTTGCTTGTGACATGGTGATCTCATAGGATTTGGGGTCTTGAGAGTATTGAGCTCCACAAAAGTCCCCTTCCCCAATGCGCCACTTCCGGAATTCAAAGGTGGATTTGAGTTCTTGGATGGCTTTGTGGTACCCGTTCCCGGAACCCCCCGTGACGCAGTCATCGACATGGACCCCATAGACTCCAGTCAATCTACCATCTTCTCGGAAATAGAACAGGCAACTGTCAAACCGAGAACGTTCAAACCCGACTCGGAGGAGTTCACTACTGAGCTTGCGATACCATGCAGCTGGGGAATCATTCAAGCCGTAGACATGACCCAAGATCTCTATCAAGGCGTTGTCTGGAACGCCGGGGATTCCCCCCTTTGGGAGAGATGCATATAGGGGTCTATATCTCTGTGGCAGGTCTCCGGCAGCAAGGAAAGCACCCTTGATGTCTCCTAAGGCCAATTGCCATTTGTGAGAGGCAATGAGTTGGAACAACATGGACCTCGCCAGTCGGACTCTGCAGGTCACCTAACTGCGCCTTGTCCGTCAGGTCTGGGTCCAGGTGTCCAAGTAAGCACCAGCGGGCTTTGGTCCGAGGTGGTGCATCTTCCTCTTGCTTGATGGTCACTACAAACCGACTACCCATAATTCGATGCGGAAATTTCTCTCGAACGAGATCGGCCTCAGGTCCTAGGACCAATCTACCGGCGTGCTTCCCCTGGATGGTGCACCATTCGAGTGCTTTTGCCTCGTCGATCTTCTTCTGAAGCTCTGGTGGGTTACCGGTAACCGCTAATTCCTTTGAGGACTTCTTCTTCATGTATGAGGCCACGAGCTGTTCAATGGGGTCCCCGTTCAGGAATCGATCGGCAAGTTCTCGACGGTCGGCGGACGACAAGTCCTCAAGATGATCAGTCAAACCACAGTTTCTGATAACTTCGACGGAACATACTGTGATTTCGTCCATGGCGAAGGTGTCACCTGAACCCGTTTCAGTCCTTTTGGCTGCTGGTTCGGACGAATCGGCTGAAGGCTCTGATGGTCGTTTGACTCCCCGACTATCGGGATTTGGCTGACCTTGTTCAGCTGAAGGTGTTCCTATAGGAGATTTTTCTTCAAGCATGTTGTTCAGGAGCTCTGGAACTATTTCTTGCATCATGTCCTGGAAATCGGATTGAGTCATGCGACCAGGACGGTACAAAGCCGAGGCGTGATCCTTCTGGTGGATCCTTCGTCGTGGCTGGCGAAGCGGGCCATAGGCACTTGCCTCCGGCTCTTGGACTTCTCGTGACGGATATGGCACACTCTTCGATTTGAGATCTCGTAGTTTTTCCTCAGTGTCAGGCTCATCGATGGTCTTTTCTTCTGGTACTGATGGAGTGTGGTGTGGCATTCTATTGGGGGCCGAGCTTGAGGCAGTTGCTGACGGCTCTATCTCTCTTTCGGCTTGTTCCCAAATGGAACGAGGCTCAGCTGCTTCAGTTGGTCGAGCAACGGCTTCCTCTGGCATTTGACTATCGCCAGGATAGCTTTCTGGGACTAAATCGATGTACTGGCGACTCTCGAGACTGTTTGACTCGATGAGATGTTTGATACCTAGCAAATCCATGTGTGGGGTTTCAACCAGCTTCAGTTCCGATTCCGTGGAAGACCGAACCTGTTGAGGTGCGCAACGGAAAATCTGCCGTTTGTGGATGAGAACAATGTTCTGTCCTACGTACCCCAAAACTACAGCCGGACCACACCAACGACCAGTCTTTTCCAGGGTTCCATGGACCCATTTTTGAGATCGCCAGAATGCTACATACATACCTGGCTGATAGGCATGTGAAACACGAGGACGAGCGGCCAAGGCTAAACGAAGTGCCTTGCTGTCTTGGAGCTCCAACACAGCTCTCCTGGCTGTTTGTCGGATTGCAACTTCTCTTCATATAGCGATGCTGTGGCTGGCACTACCTCGAGTGGTTCATCTAGCAAGTTCTCAGGGACCCTGGGGTTTTTCCCAAAAACGAACTGAGAGGGTGTCATGCCATAGACTTGAATTAACTGATTTTTACAGTGAGCGGAGTTGACACACTCAATCCATTCTTCTTGGGTGGTCGGAGAATGTTCCATGAGGATCTTGTCTAGAATCTTAGAGAACCAACCCCCATGTACCTCAGTTTTTCCAAGTTGCCAATGGGCGTCTGCCGCAGTTAGCTTGAAAGTGGCGCCGCCTTGCTCCAAAACGGTGGTGAACGCATCGGCCACATTGGCCCTGGCGGGATCAAGCACTATTTCCTGTGGCACTCCGGCCCACGATACCCAGCGTTCCATGAACGTTTTCAGGATGATCTTGGCAGTTTCTCGTTGGAAAATGGGCACTACGATCTGCATTGAGCTGGCATGGTCTAGTATGTTGAGAGCTGGAATTTTTTGGTTGGTCAACCACCCCCGCAAATACTTAACGTCAACCCCCACTAAGGCATTGAATTCAACCACTCGGTGAGTTTGTGCAGGATGGGCTACCGTTGGGCTCTTCAACGCTTTGCAGTGATCACAGGAAAAGGACCGAGCTGCGGTCAAAGCGGCTTCGGATGCACCACCATGTTTTAACACTCGCACCAATTGTTGGTTGGTAGGGTGACCCAGGTTGTTGTGAAGTCGACGAATGCTATCGGTGATCTTGTTGTCAGGTTCTTGATTCATTTCCTCCACTGTGTGTGCAACCAAACACTCGACGCTCAGCTCCGATGAGAGCTTCAGGCATTCGGTGGCTGGCAGGTCACGAGTCAAACGGAGAACAGCTTTCACAAAGGCTGTGGTGTACTTGGCTGCATGCTTACTGATGCAACCTAGTTTCGGCCAACTACCTGAAATGCTCTGATGCTGCCGATGCTGTGGAGAGGCGTCCCCAGGACACTTTCGACTCAGACTCTTCATGTCAGCATGTGACACCAACAAGGATGTCGGCTTCCGGACGAGAGGCCCTCCTGGCACCGACAACCCATAGCGACACATGTCGACTGGGATTTGATGGCCATCTTTGCACAACTGCTCCATGGACCGGAGACGCCAAGCGACAGAATCCCGTGGGTGTTCAAAAAGGAACCTACCTCCGTGACTCTTTTGGATTGCCATGACTTCACAACAAAAGGAAATAAACAACCGAGCCCATGACTCTTTCTGAGCGACTTCAGCTTCACTCATGCGCAGGCGATTCAAATGCCACCAACCCCCGGCCCAAGTGCATGGAGGGCAACAAACAAGAAGCTTTGGTTTGTCTCTTCTCACAATATCCTTGAGTTGGTTTCGATGGTCACTCTTGCGAAAATCCCAACCTGTGCAGAGGTCGGCAGACAAAACCCTATATCCTAATTTCGCCCCTTCCAAAGCAAACCTGGGGGGTGAGAACAACTCAACGATGTCATAGCCCCCAGTGTCCCGGTCCTCCCGATTGCTGGATGGCTTCAACTGAGCCATGAGACAGCGGTGCTGCTTACTCGTGAACGACATCAGTCGGAGAAACTCGTCCTCAGCTGCGGGGAGAGACGGCGCCGGAGCGTTCGACGACAGGCGAAAGATAGTCTGGCCTGTCCACGGCTGGTCACCAACCTTGGCATGAGCCTGATGTGCATCCGTCCAATCATCAGAAAGGTCCCTACAGGTCGGAGTCATTCGATCGAACTTGGTCAGTCGGCAGTCCTGAAGAAACATGCTATCGATCGGGCACTGTGTGTGTGCTGGGGTGAAAAGCTGAGAACGAGGCTTCCTATGGTGTCGGATGACAATGCGTTCGGACGGCCGAAATTCCCAAAAATCCTTGACCTTCTGGCGTTTATGATTGTATGAAACCGAGAGGCACGAAACAGGCTCTGGCTTTGCTTCGGACGCGGCTTCACCGCTGGGCTTGAACAAAGCGGGCGCCTGCGGTGGAAATCCGACCACTCGTACGGCATACTGTCCGGCTGAATTGACTTCCATCGGAACGGCCACCTGCTCAGGAAATAAAAGCACTGTATCGTCAACAAAATTCACGCGGGCTTGAAGCGTCTTGAGAGCCGGTCTTGACAGCAGCAACGGGGCTTGCCCCCGGACGATAGCCGCTCGAATGCGACCGGGCCGTCCGGCAAGAAACACAGGCATCTCAATCACCGAGTTGCTCACTTCCTGATGTCCGTTCCCATAGCGGAACACATTCTTCTCCAACACCTCCGGCTTCACATCAAAGCCGGCTTCTCTCCAGATCTCCTGAAAAGCTTCCAAGGTTTGTCTCCCGATAATTGTCTTGCCGCAACCGCTGTCCAGAATGGCATACCCAGGCGAGCTCAAACTCCGACATGGCAACGCGCGGTCGAACACGATCGTGAGCGCCCCGCCCACGCAACCCTAGGCGACGGTCCTTTGACCAGCTCCGCTACCAATGTTGGCAGCCCATGCCCGACGTCCCACGTCGGCCTTTTCACCTGGTGGGCTTGAGAGTCCCTGCGCGGTCGAGAAACAACATATGTATATATTCAGAGGAAAGCTCGGACGTGGTTTCAAGAGATGTACGCCCAAAGATCCAGTTCCGGAAGGGTTGTTTTGTGACCCAATATTTAGCAAGGTTCTGAATAAAATTACCAGTATATATGCCCACTCTTTGATGAACAAGTTCAACACGGTTGTTTCTTATGTTGTGTCAGCGTTCTCCCTCTGACCTAGGAGAGCTCGCGACTACATTCTGAGCGCTTCGCATGCAGCCTCGGCCCCAGCATCAAATCTATTTGATTTCAATTGATCGGGTTTCAGCCATGTACGACACTTCATAGCAATATGGAGAATGAGGCGGTTAAGCAATTCTTCAACATGGTTGACGTTGAGTCCATCCTCGGAAATGTTCCAAGCCTACACAATTAGATGTTTGTGTGTCCACATGGCCCACTTTAACTTTGCCTCAGCGATTTCGGATGGCTTCTTGAATTCAAGTCAATTTTGGCAACTTGACGCAAGCTCCCATCTATCTCCCCTGGTACGCCTGTGAACTTCTAAGTATGTAAAAGGCCAACTCGATTGGAAGGCCCGATGCAAACAGCTCATTTCAGAATTTTAGAGTTTTCAGAGATTCTTAAGATGGCAATGATGGCCGAAACACCCAAAGTTGCAAGGTTTGATGTAGACTAGACTTGAGAGCAGCATGTTCACATTGATACGTATTATATATATATATTTATTTTTTTTTGAGGGTTCTATAGCCTTGCGATTCGCAGGTGGACTTGGCGGCATGGCTCCCTTCATACTTCCTTCTGCAGTCCTTGGTGCTGCATGGCAGCTGTTTGGACCCTGCAATGAAATTTATCAGACCGCTCTGAGCGTAGGTGAAGTAACGAAGTAGCGGGGAAGCATTGCAGCCAATCACAGACAAGCAAGAAAGACCAAAGACCTCAGGTGAGACCGGTCAGGTTGGCTCTTGCGTGGATGCATACAGGTTTATTTTGGAGAATTGTATTTGGGAAGAAGACATGGAAGGGCACGATTAGCCTTGATGTTTGGCCTTTTGCCACAACGAGCTGGAATTTACAGACTTTTGTCCTGGATGTCCTGAGTTTTTATTATATATATACATTATACAAAAATCATTTGGCTTTTAGTTTGCCTTTAAGTTAATGAATGCAAGTGGTAGTATTTGGTCCAAGTGCAGTTCAAGAGAGCATTGGCAAACGTCGCACTCGACATCGACTCAGGAACACACAGGCAGTGACCGTCAAGCGTCTTTGGCGAAGACACAGCTTGTCACTTGGATCGGTTTGTCGAGGTGACTTTGCCAAGGTTGTACAATAGTGTACGTTCAATGCGATCGGCAACTTGTCACAATCTTCCAACAACTTCTACAAGAATATTGTTACTACTGTTGAGAAGTATATACTGTTATTACAAGCTGTTCGAACTTGTTACAAGTCGTGACTTGGAACTTCGGGTTTCCGGGCCGACACCTGAGGCCTTCCACGGGATGTGCATGTTCCGGTGGCTGAAACTGGACTGTGCTCCTCCAAGCTTGGTCTGCTTCGGTTTTGCCAACTAGGACTTTCATAAAGACACTTTCATGAGTTGGTTTGTTTGGCTTGCTCATTGGATTACCTTAAACTCTAAGATGGTTCTGAGTTGTTTGCTCTTCCCTCGTTGGCTCTCCATGTTCGACAAACGTGTGACATCCTACCGGTCTTTTACATGCTCTTTTTCCAGTCCAACTCCTGCAAACACCATCGACACAACGATTCCTGCCTTCCACTTGCTCAACCTCCGTATGTAAATGCCACAGCAACACGCCAACAACACCGCAAGAATCCACTTTATTGGCCTGGTGTTCTTCAAGACCTGTACATAGTGTTTTTGTTCTTTGGTGCATTTGGAAAATCAATGGTTGCATCCTCCAAAGCCTACAAGCCCGTTGGAGATGCAATGTTGCTTAGTCCAATCATGCCAAAGCAGTCCTCAGAAAGGCAAATGTTGCACTGACCTAGCCAAGCATATAATGAGAATTAATACAGCAGTAAGCAGACAAGCCAAAAAGAAGCAGATATCGGATCATGCCTTTTGTTCATTGATTCTTTGTTCAATGCTGTTCGTTTCCATTGTGAGTGACGTTGTTTGGCACAATATATTAACTCATGTATTTCGCATCTTGTTGTAAATCGCGTGTCTATTTCCTTCCTGCCAGTTGTTTAATATTTTTGCTCTCTCTCTCTCTCTTTCTGTCTCTTGCTTGTCTTCTCAATTTCTCAACCAATTGCTTGTTCTGCTTTGTTCTGTGCTATTGATTTATTTTTTTCTGACCTTTGAATATGCTACATTGGCTGAAACACGTCTCATGTGGAAGCTTGGCACTTCATGGCTTACTTGCGAACAACGCATCAAGCAGGGTGCGGGAGCCTGAACCTTCTGTTTTCAGCGCATTGTCTCTTTGCTGCTTTGTGCTGGCCAGGTGTTTTTGGTCGGATGTTCAAGCAGCTGCAGTTTACCTTGGCGGAGAACAAGGTGATTTTCAGGCGCTTCCTGCGGGATTGATGTCAACCTTTGGGTTTTGTAGAACCTGTTGTATTGCTGGGAGGACATTCTTTGGGTTCTGTTGAAGAGGCCCAAGTCAAGCAGGTGGATGGCAGCGAACTGCAAACTGATGACTGAAGGTACATTTAACCTAATTTAACCATAATGTCCATGTTTCTAGTTGGGTCAGGAAGCCTGGAGCAGATAGTTTTGTATCGATATATTATATTTTGTCAGTTTTCTCTACCCTGGATTCCTCTTTGACTCTTCCCGGGCAAGTATTCTAGGCTCGAGCCACTTGGGTGTCTCTTGCAAGTGTATGGGGGCAAGAGGGGCATGCCATTCGCCAACAAGTTAAACATGAAAGAAAGATACCCGCTAAGTACATAATGTGGACATAACGCTTGCTTGGGCTGCTCGAGATCCCGCAACGGAGGATGTCACTGATTTGTGCCGCGACCTTGTGGCTGTTGGGCTCCGTCTTGATGTACTATGCGGAGCGTGACAACCCCGACGAAGGCAAGGGCCAATGGTGGCTTCAAAGTGTGACACTGTGCCACTGGCGTTGGCACAGTGGTTGTGACTGTGCACGTGTGACACGCCTGGAGAGCAGAAAGGCAGACAACACAAGCTGAGCCAAGTGAAAGATTCATTTCTATACAGGAAGGAAAGTGAGCAAGAAAAGAAGGAAGGAAGGTCTGGTAAAGGTCAGAAGAAAGCACGACACATACAGGTAAGACCTGGCTAACTTGTCAACCCTAAGTAGTTAGCAAAGCCTTGCACTTGCTGAACAGGTACTCGAGACCATTTCAAGACCCTGCCGTTGTCATTCTGGATGACCGCCTTGGATTTTACTAGTGAAGCACCCATCAACGACCATGGAGCCCAGGCTGGGTGAGCATAGTTAGTCCTTTCCTGTCCACGTGAATCTGAGTTCCAACCACCAATCATTGACAAGAATCTCTCGCAATCACAAAAAAACAAAGATGATGGCCAGTGGGATTGTGAACGAATTTGTCCACTACTTCACAAGCATGCAGTCAGCCGCAATGAAAAGCCAGGCTAGAGATGTACAAGTTTCGCTAAAAATCTAGGAACCAAATCATTAGTCCACCCGCCCTCAGGCGGCGGGAGTTTCCTTGAAGAAGCGTGAGTAATCCTGCGTGCTACCTAGAAGCCAACTCAGAACTGTACTCCGCGCCTACTTAATTAAGTAGGAAGGGGGGAGCAGACTAAAATCAATAAAAATCATAAATTAAAGACAAACCAAGAACACAATTCTCTTTCAACTCCATTGAGCCCATTGCAGGGAAAGGCAGTGCACACCATCATCATGCTATTGGGCGTCGGTCTTTTCACGGTGCCCATGGGCCTCTTTGCTTCGGCCTTCCGGGAACGCGTGGAACCAAGTGTGTCAAAGAATTAAAAGTGTTTTTCACCACTTGTCAGGTGAGGGCTGTTAGATTGTAGATTTTATGTCAGCTGCCTTCCTCCTCCTTCTCCTCCGCCTCCACCTCTTCCTCAACCGCCAGCTCCGGATGGCAGTGTTCCTCGCCGGACCTCAACTGCAAGTGCATGATGGCAGTCCGGACCTCAGCCGCGAGTTCCGCTTGGCAGTGTTCCCCGCCGGACCTCAACTGCGAGCTTCGGCTGGCAATTTGCCCCGCCGGACCTCAACCGCCAGTTCCGGATGGCAGTGTTCCCCGACATGTTTTGGCGTGCTTCTTTTCAAACGCAGGGGCTCACTCTTCTCTCTGTTACTGTTACTGCAACAGTGAAAATTTGCTCAGACACGAACTGTTCACGACCGGCTTTTTCTTGAATCGATAAGTCATGGCGCACCAGGTGCACCAGACTACATCGGAAGGACCGGGGTTCGTCTGTACATGCGGAATCCGGATCGTGTGCGCACGCGGTGTCGTGGATCGTTCATACACGCGAACTCCCGCTGCTGTTCTAGATCAAGATGAAACGACCATATAGGAAGAGACCGGCTTCGCTCTTAGACTTGCAAAGCATCATCCCCACTTCATCAAGTCTCTTGCTCCTGTTGCGGAACAGATCCCCACCCCATCGCCCCCACATCCCCGTCCCATGAAGTCCTTTTTCCCACTTTGGATGCCCGCCCCCATCCCCAACCCCACCCACCCCATCCTCTCACCCCATCCTCGCCCCACCCGCCGGCGCACAACGGAACCCCACCCCACCCCATCCCCACCCATGCCATCCCACTGTGTGTGCGCAGATGATCCTGATTTTGTGTGCGCAGCTGGTCCACATTCTGTGTGCGCACATGATCCTAGCTGTGTGCGCAGATGATCCTCTGTCCACATCGGAGCCCATGGATGTTGTGGCTGTTCCAGGAGAACGTCCGGCGAGGCTTTACAAACGGGGAGTCGCTTTCGCGAGCTGAGC